ATATTTAATTGTAAATATTTTAAGTTAATCGTGTTAATCGTATTAAGAAAAAATTATGTTAATAGTTTAATCGTATTTATTAATTGTGTCATAAAAAAGTTTTTGACATGTTTAATAAACGTGTTAGTCATGTCGTGTTGATTACACACCTATTTAATAAATTTGTGTAAGTGTTTCAGTGTCATATCAGAAAGATTGAATTGAACAAAAATGTAAAATACATGACTAAATTAAATAAAATTGAAGTGTTTAAAAACTAAATTAAAAAAATATTTAAAAAATATAAATCTTTAAATAAATGATACATATACTTATTTATAAGATAAATAATGTTTAAGTGTAAAAAATTTATGGTGTTAAAAAATATATATATAAATATTTTTTTACTTGAATAGTAGATTCTAGAATATGAACATTAATTTATTTTCTTTGCAAAAATTAATTTTGATTTCCCTTTTAAATTAAAAATTCTAATATTCCAAAAAATATTTCATACTTAAAGTAAATTTAGATGAATAACTTGCATTATGTTGAAATAAAATAATATAAAAAAATTAAATAAATTCTTTCTTTTTTCTATTTATAACTATATAAAAATTTAAAATTTATATTATAATTTGACTTGAAATTTAGATTCTAATTTGACTTAGTTTTTAACTTAAGCTAAACTCAAATTAGCAAAATAGTTTAATTTAGTTACAACTTTCATAATTTAGGAATACTCATTCTTTTAAAATTATTCAACTGTTACTTAATTTACTTTTTATTTCTTATAAAACGATTTTATTTAAGTTTAAAAACCACAATCAAACTATATTAAATTTAAATTGTTAATTTAGATTTACAAAAAAATTGTAAATATAAAATACAATAATATAAATATTTACAACTATAGTTAACTCTATCAACCATAAAAGTATCTTTAATTTAGAAAATTCCAACCTAAAAATGGAACCTAAATGTTAAACAAAATGAAAGCATAAAAAATAAATAAAAAATTAAAAGAATGGAATAACTTAGGTTATATAAGTGTAATAAGAGATCTATCATACTCCAATTGAACGGAGCAAAGTCAGAACAAAAAATTATTTTTATAATCATTGTTAACTTTATAGTTTTCAGAGAATTGCTTGATCTTTAAATTAAAAGAATTTAAGAAAAATCCAAATTAGAATCAAGAAATGTAAACATGTCGTCATTGTTTTAATTTCATGACAACTAATCGGTGAATTAAACTTGTAATGAAAAAAAAAAAGAACAAAAAAGAAAACTAAGGGGTGGCTAAGGAAAATGGTAGTTATTGTGATAAAATATTATATTTTTTTAATAAAAGAATAATTTAAACTTAATTTTTGTAAAATATATAAATTAATATACCTATTATAGAATCAAATAAATGAGTAAGAAAATATTTATAGATTTTTCTTAACATCATAAATGTTTTACATTTAAACATTTAACTTATTAATAAGTATATGTATAATCTAATTAAAGATTTATTTTTTTAATTTTTTTAATTAGATAAAATATATAAGTATAGAGACTTGATGAATATTTTGACCAAATTAAATTCATATTGTCATTTTTACATGAATTAAGTTAAATGTAAGATCAGGTCATTTAATTTCAAAAAAATTTAACTGCAGATTGATTTAAAATAATTTATCTCACCCCAAAATGTGATTTAAGGGGTACCCATATTAATGATAAAAGAGCTAATTATAGATATATTATATGAACCAAAAAGTGATTACGGTTACCCATATTAATGACAAAAGAGAGCTAAATATAGAAATATTATATGGATAGGTGTAGACTAGGAAAAACATATACCGGAAAAATAATTCATTTCTCCATATACACTTTAAAATAAAATAAATAAAAGGAATTTAGAAAAATATGTGGATGGGCCGTTAGATAAGAAAAAAGTTGGACCGTAGGCCTTGTTTTAACCCAAATCCATCCGTACCTGTATCCTAAACCGACCCGCTGTTTCGAGTAACTGTAAATTACTCGGAGACAAAATTGCTCGCATCGAGCCCTAGAGGTACTCAGGTGCCCCGAAAATTCTCTAAATTAGGTGCGTTGAGTATTTTGCTCTGTTCACGAAAGGTAATTTCTCACGTTTCGCTTTCAAGCCCTAACAATTCATTTCACTGCTAAGAAATTACAAAGAACGAGAAAGTAAGTTTTGAATTTGAATTTGGATAAGCATTTTGCTGTATTTCAGATTTTGTTAATATTCTGCTGTCTGAATGGGAAAACTAAGTTGTAGTGTTAGATTAGAGTAAGTTTAGTTTAATCGAGTGAAACTAGTGGAGTTTATTCATTTCTTTAATGTTTCGGTTTCGTATTTGTGCAGAATTTAAATTATTCGGTTTTTGAAAAAGAAAAAAAATTATTCGGTTTTTGTCTTAATTGCAGATTGGAAGTGAGTAATTATGGATTTTGATGAATATGAGTACTTAGAAAAGACGGTTGAAACTACGGAGCCTCAAAAGGCAAAGGAAGATGGTAATGGTGGCATTGACAGTGTCAAATCCGAAGAGAGGAATCGAAGTCGGAGTTCAAAGCATAAGAGGGAGGAGAGAGCTGATGATTATGACAATGATCATCGACGTTCCAAGCGCTCGAACTCGCGAGAGGAATCATCACGTGATCTTGACCGGCACAAGGAACGGAACTCAAGAAATGGAGAGAAGGATAGGCACAGGAGCAGCCGAGAACACAGAGACAAGGACAGGGACAGGGAGGAGAGGAATGGGAGGGACAGAGAGAGGGAACGTGAAAGAGATAGGAAAGAGCGTGATCGTGAGAGTGAGAGGGACAGGGACAGGGAAAAGGAGAGAGAGAGGTCAAAGAGAAGCCAAAGTCGATCAGAAAGAGAGCAAGAGAGAAGTCGGGACATGGAGTTTAGTGAAAGAGAGTCGAGGGAACGAGACAGGGAAAGCAGGTACCCCTGCCACTTTCTTGTACTTCCATTTGTTTAGCTTTTGGTTTCTTTGTGCAGTGTCTTTCTTATCACATTTGGCTGGAGAATTGCTTTTATGCATAATTGCAAACATTAATTTGATGCAATAATAGTAATTTGTTCACATTTTAAAGTAATTTTAACATGCAGGTTGTTTGTTTCTGTGTTATGCATGGTATATTAAGATTTGTATTGTATCAGTACTCGCATATACTGGTTGTGATATGGCTCATTTAGGTTCATTTAAGATTGTGCATTTTACAAGCCAATTCTTTGAGATTATCTTGAGTCAAAGGTTAATTTGGACATATTTTTTTTGTGGAATATCTTCTTGGTAAAAATAGTTCTCAATAGCCCTTTGTTTGCAAGTTAAAGTTGTGAGGAACTTGTGTTATTTTCTTGTGGCTGAATTTGTCCAAAACACATTTATTGCCCCTCGTCATTGAGTTTGCTCATTATAAAAAGCTAACTCCACAGTACGTGATAATGAATGCTAACGGTTGAAAATGACCATTACTATTATAGTTAGGCAGTTTTTTTTTTAATTTATTTATTGAGAATGTTAAGTGTAGGATTTAGTCGAAAAATGCCATTGTTGAAACATTAGGCTAGCTGTCTTATGCTGCTTGTGATTTATTTGATATCAGAGAAATTATTATTGAGGCAATGCTATGTGCTTGCACTAATTAGTACCTATATGTAGGAAACATTTAATCTTGGAGGTGGGCAACCTTTACTTATATGAACTTTTTTCCTGTTTTGAAGATGTAGTATGGGTTAAGGTGGCTGAAATGATACATAGGTAATGCTGTGCATTGTTAGGGTTATTCAATGATGATTGTATATGACTTGTAAGTGAATTGGTTATTAGGTGCTTTCTCTCATTGATTCTCCTCTTAATTAACCATCTGGATTATAACTTAAGTTATCTTTCAATTGACTAAACTATAGTGAGCTACTTGACTTTTCTTTCTGTTATTGGTAAGTAGCTTATTTTGAGATTTTTGTACTTTGATAATAGCAAGTTTCCTTCCTAGAGTTGTAAATGATGCAATGGGCTGTTATGGGTGATGTAAGAAATAGTTTCTTAGTTCATATTATGCAAGCTCTGTTGTTTTGGTGAGCAAATGTGATGCAGATATTTTCTTCCTGTTCTTAGTGTCCTGTTTCGCAACATCTCTCCTAAAGTTGGCATGGCTATTTATCAGGCCCATTCAACACAGCACCAGTCTTGCACATGTAACCATGTAGAAGATCTAGATAATCAGCCTTTTCTCTGGCATAGATATGTTCTATCAGTTGTTTCCTCCAAGTATAATTCTCGCTTGCTTAACGGGTTTTATACTGTATCTAAATGAGTTTTTTCTCCGGTTCTTAATCTTCATATAGTTTTGCTATTTATTCGGTCTTGTAAATTCTGAATATTAAACATTAGATTCTGGGAAATCGCAGATGTGCTAGAGCAATCTTCAGATGGTCTTTCTGGCAATTGGGCCAGGCACTGGAACTCAGGTCATGGGTTTTAAATATTTCTTCCTAGATTTCAGACTATGTATAAAAGCTTGCATTGCAAGAATGAAGTTTCAATCTTGGAGGTTTTGACCGGAGTGGTGATGTCATGTTATGATTTCCGTTATCCTCTACCTTTAAAAAATGAGTTGCTTAATTGTATCTATTCTATTGCAGAAATGCTGGTGAGGGTATGATGGGCTTTGCCTAAGCTTTAAAGAAGCAGTTCACCTTCTGATGCTTGTGGGTGTTCAGTGGGATAGCAGATTGGCCACATTTTTTTTTCTCTCTTTTTGCAGGGGATAATCATTAAAATGTTGATTAATTGCCTGTCTTGAAGTTTTAGGTTTTAGGTAACCATAGTGCTTTCTTCTATTGTCGTATGTTTGATTTCACTTTTATAGGTCTATGTTTGATTCCACTGTTACTGAGTCAAGGTCTTATGTTGACTTTGTGTAGTTCCCTGCAGGAACATGTATCAAGGTTCGGCATTTTTACACATGTTGGAGAGAAAAATTGATGCCATTCTGGATTTTGCTTCTTTTTTTCTTGTTCCTTTTTTTTTTTTGGCAGTGATTGCATGAGCATGTGTTGAGAGATTTCTTCACTTCCCAGAAGCAAAAGCATATTTTTCTACTTCACCTTTCGTTGAACATTTTCATTGCTTTGAGTGGTTGTGTTGGCATTTATATCTGTTTTTCTAAACAATATAAATTGTTATTTTATGTTTTTTCTCCTTCCCTGCAGGAGGAATAAAGACAAAAAGGAAAATGCAGCAGAGGCTGAGGCTGATCCAGAAAGAGATCAGAGAACTGTATTTGCCTATCAGGTATTGATGCATTTAGAGTGTTTGTTCTATCTTGTTATTGTGGCCCTGATCTTTTCCTTATGACTGCTGATGTAAAATTGTGTAAACAATTTCTGACAGATATCTTTGAAGGCTAGTGAAAGAGATGTTTATGAGTTCTTCTCTAGGGCTGGCAAGGTGATTTCTATTTCTATTTCATGGTCCATCTCAAAATTTCTTCTACAGTATTCAGATTAGGCTCATTAAATACTTAAATGTAACATGTATGATGCTTAACCCCTTGTTTTATTGTGGTATGAGACTCATATTCTTTTAATTAACATTTTATTCCTATATTAGAGTCCTTTTTAGTAGTTGTAATTGTATGAACAACATATAAATTGAGCTTAATTGCCAGAGGGTTGTGCTGGAGTGCTCTATTGTTATTAGTTTCCATGGAGCTGGAGTCATTTGCTTTAATTTCAAAATTAATGCATTCTAATTGCTTTTGGTACTATATTTAAACTGGTTTATTACAACATATGAATTTAATTGAAATTATTGAAAATACTTTTAAGTTATAGAATGATCATATAAAATCAGTTGATTTAGTCTTAAACAATAATTTAAAAATGCCTACTGCAATTCATAGTTTTAACTACTCAAAGATTCTTTCAACAGAAAATGAGTTATCATAGGCGCAGACAAATACAGATTTATACACACACACACAAGTTGTCTGGTTTTTTCTTTTCCTGCTTACTTATTGATCACAATTTTCAGGTACGGGATGTTCGCCTCATAATGGATCGAAATTCAAGACGTTCCAAGGGGGTTGGGTAAGTACTAAACCTTAATGCGTATAAGCTGCAATGCTTACTTGCCATTTGGTTGTTGTTTTAGCTACTTAACTTTTTTTGTTTGCTTTTCTTACATAGAAGTTTCTGATGAGCAAAATTTAAGTGATGCAAAATAAAGAAATCATCAGATGTTGTACAATTTTAATATATGTATCACATATATAACTAAAACCATTCATGCGGTTATTTAAAAAATTTTTCTGGTGGTGAAGTTAAAAGCACAATGCCAAAATTGTTTTATTTTGTTAATTCCTCTTAAGAAAGTGGTGAGGGGACAATACTTAATGGGGTGGTTTGGAGGCCCTGCATCTTGTTATGTATGCTATTCTTGTGGATCTTAATTAAATTTCTTATGTAGGTATATTGAGTTCTATGACGTAATGTCAGTCCCTATGGCAATAGCACTCTCTGGACAGCCTCTTCTTGGTCAACCGGTGATGGTGAAACCCTCAGAAGCTGAGAAGAATCTTGTTCAGTCAACTACATCGGTGGCAGCTGGACAGACAGGTCCATATTCTGGTGGGGCTAGAAGGTTGTATGTTGGCAACCTACATTTCAACATTACAGAAGATCAACTTCGTCAGGTAAGATTGTAAGGACTGGTAATAATGTATGCTTTAGTGTTTGAGACAGGATCTTAATTATTGCTTTTGAATGCTGTTAATTTTAAGTACTCTGGGTTTGGGTTGTAATCTGAAAGCTTTGTTTGGGGATTTGAATAGCATGCTAATCTAACTGGAGAAGATTTAAATGAAAGATTTAGGGAGGGCAGTATCCAAAGATAAGAGAAGCAAAAGCCTAGGCATGGCATTTATGTGTCTGAGAACTTCCACTCAAGGGGATACATTTGATGCCTTGCAATAACATGTGGGCTTCAAAGGATTTTCTTCATTAACTTTGGAAAACACAAATTCTTAAGTATGGCAAAGACTTGGTTGCACAATTGACTTGGAGAGAAACTGCCCGCCTCAAGGGGACTTGAGATCAACTGAACCTGCTATGCATTTTTTTTTGCCAAGTTGTTTTTGACAATTTTTACAGACTCAAATTGTCCCCCTTCTCTGATGAAATATTGCACTTTCCATTTATTTGTATCAGTTTTGACCAAAATAGCTATATTGTTCATTGGGATTGTACTTATCAGGTAGAGTTTAAGAATTATGAAATGAATTCTTAAATGTGTTTTTGTTACATGATGTTTTTCAATGTAATGTTTACTAGTTTGCTTACCATTGAGGTATTTTTTATTAATATTGTTGCTCTTTGGTCATCTTTTACAGGGGGTTTTAAGTTTCTAAGTTTTTCTTTCTAATCCTCATTAATTGGAGTAATATCTCTTTTTCTTATTTCCTTGGTACTTGTTGTTGGATTGATATTGCTGATTTCATTCTTGTTTAAAATGCTCAGGTTTTTGAACCTTTTGGTTCTGTGGAGCTGGTTCAGTTGCCTCTTGACGAAACTGGTCATTGTAAAGGTTTTGGTTTTGTCCAGGTAATACTTAGTGAAGCAACCTGAGAAATTCATTGTGATTTTTCTTTAGCAAATCCTTAGATATATACTTTATGTTGCAAGAGTGTAAGTGAATGTATAACCCAAGAAAAGGTACAACTTTAAACTTGAAGAGCTCAGTTTGTGCTACATGATGAAAAACTTTATCTAACTGTTCAAACAGGTCATATCGAATTATTCTTGATAGTGAGGAATGCTATCTGAGATTGCCTTATATGATAGATGCTTAATGGTGTCTGTTTTGAAAAAGATAATCGAATGATTATTCTTCTTGCAGTTTGCCCGTCTAGAAGATGCTAAGAATGCATTGAATTTGAATGGACAGCTGGAGATTGGAGGTCGAGTAATCAAGGTAATCATGAGTAATTGTTGTGTTCTTTTCTTGTGGGCATGCATATGTTCATTGATATCTGATTTAAGGTCCCGACCTCATTTAAACCTTCAATTTCTGAATTAAATTGACTATAATTCTATAAAACCATAACCTTTTATATTCTTTTGCCACCAACTTTCTTTTAGCTGCTGTCCTATGGGCCATGTAACTCAAATTCTTGGCCATCAAACAGCCTTAAGAATGAGAGTTTTTTGTTTTTTGTTTTTTTTTTGTTTTTGCTATACGTGTTCTTTTTCCATCTTTCAGGTATCAACTGTTACTGATCAAGGTTTATTGCAAGATGTTGAGACAAATGCCGCTGATCTTGATGATGACGAAGGTGGTGGCTTGGTGAGTGTTGTTCATACTCTCTTGCTTCTGTTCAGGATTCTTTTATGCTTCCAACAAGGTGTCAACCGGCTAAGAATGGTTTCAGTTGAACCCACCTTTAGAAAATAGCCCAATCTTGACGTTGCATTTGAGAAAGGTGTATGCTCAGAGAGTCAGCAACTGACTATTTTCCCAGGAGGATAGCCAACAATTGCATAGTCATTACATAATGCCCTTGTGGCTGTCTCACATTTATCTTTGGTTCGCTAGCTGTATCTGCATTTGATGAATTTGATTGCTTTATTCTTGCACGTTTCTGTAACTTTTTGGGAAGCTGACAAAATGTTCCTATGAAATTCAGTCTCTGAATTCATCCTCTCGAGCAAGTCTCATGGCAAAGTTGGATCGCAGTGGCACTGCATCAAGGTTTGCCTCTTTAAATCTTGCAATTGTTTTGTTTATAAATTATCTGGCTGATACTGCATCTGCCTCTTTTTTTTGCAGTATTACTGGTTCGGTAGGCATTGCTGGTAATAGCACTGGCCTAACTGCTACAACAGCAACAATCCTTGGTGCTGCACCTGCGGTACCGTCCCTTGTTCCCCCTACTCTACAGGCCCATGTTCGTACTATCTCTGGACTTCCAGGTGTGGGTCTGCAACTCCCTACTAATGGCATCCCTACTATCGACACAATTGGAACCCCAAGCGAATGCCTATTGTTGAAGAATATGTTTGATCCAGATCTGGAGGTTGGTGTCCATGCCTAGATTGTAAAAGTTTCTTTTTTCCATGGTTTTGTCTAATCATATCATTTTTCTTGTGATAGACGGAACCAGATTTTGATTTGGATATCAAAGAAGATGTTCAAGAAGAATGTTCAAAATTTGGAAAATTGAAGCATATATATGTGGACAGGTAATTCCTAGTTGGACCTCCTGCTGCTGCTATATCTTTGTTAGATTAGGCAATATTTGGTTCCCTCGCGCTTGTCTTGGAGCATGTCAGGATGCTTTGTTCATAGTTATTATTGCAGTATTTTGTAGCATTCCTTTTGTTCTTTGCCTCTCGCTCTTTTTCTGACTACTGTTGTGGCTCTTTATTTCCTTCAACAGGGACAGTGCTGGTTTTGTCTACTTACGGTTCGAAGATACGCAAGCTGCAATGAGTGCACAACGGAACCTACATGGAAGATGGTTTGCTGCAAAAATGATTACTGCAACATTCATGGTAACATTAGTTTTCTTCTAGTTCATCAATATGTCATTTCATTATTGAATAATTGCCATCAATTTCTGTTTTACTTTCGAAATAAAAATATATGTCGATGCAGGTGCCACAAACCTACGAGGCAAAGTTTCCAGACAGCAAGAGATTGTTGGAATGATGTTTAGCCTAAGGCTGTGTTTGAAATCTAGAGGGTTCGTTAGGAATTATAATTTCCCTGAAATTTGATATCCCCTGGAACTTGAATGAGAAGTTCAAATATCTGTGTTTGAAATTAGATGCACTATTTCCTACAAATTTTTATTTTTAATTTTTGCTGTTTGATATACCACTGCAAAAAGGTGGGAATAGTTGTTGATGACAATAAAATTCTTACAGGGCCCCTTGTGGTAGGAAAAATATTTCTATTTTCTAATGCAGAACTATGTTTAGATAAATAACATTGTAAATACAAACAGATACCACTAAATTCCAAATACTGTTTATTAAATTATATATTATATGAACAAAATATGCTTCAAAAAAAAAATGAAAAGAATCAAGTTCCGAAAGACTATATTTGTGTCTATAGGTGTACGGATATGTGTGCGCAAAATACCATAAAGTTGTTAACCGGGAGAGGTCATTATGGCATCAATGTGCTTTCAGATATACGTAAGGGTTTTAATATTGAGTTTATATTTGATGTATTGTTTGTATAAATTTGGTATGTTATTAGTGAATTTAAAGTTGTTATTTTGATGGTAAATAAATATAAAATCTGAAAATTTTAAATAGTAAATGTTTATAAGTTTTGAATTTTTATATTATTGTGTAATTATGAAATATAGTATATAATTAAACAATAATGTATAAATATATACATTGACAATTATATATATTCCAAAAAACCGTTTTTATTGCTTTACTGGTCTATAACGGGCTGGTTACACCATATTTTGATCAGAAAAAGGAAATTATCAATCGATATAATTACTCTACATATTTTGATAATTGCTCTAAATTATCAATCGACGGTTTTGTGGTAAAGGTGTCCGATCTGGTTTTGCTCCTTGTGATGATCACGTTGTTTATTGGTTTTTGACTTGGTTCCTAACCTCAACCGCCCAGGTAATTTAATTTGGCACCCCTTTCTGGCTTTCTTCCTGTTGGGATATATGTAATGTGACTACTTGCTACACTCCAACTTCGTTACTTGTTGTTGAAAACATTTTGATCTGGTTTGCTATCTAAGGAAGAGCTGGAGAAGGACCCTTCCAAGCTGAAACAATTTGTGTTAAACAAGCTTGATGGTGCGTCTCATGACATAAAGGCTGTCATACAAAACACTGCCCCAGACGCCTTTGTACCGTCGTCTCCATTAAGAATCAGGCCTCCCTGGGATCTTCTTAGCAAGGGCAATCTTTGTTTAGCAGGGAATGCGCTCCACCAGATGACCATAGACATTGGACAAGGTGGCTGTTCAGCATTAGAAGATGCTGTGGGCCTGTCCAGGTGCCTTGTGGAAGCCCTGGTGAAACCTGGCAGAGAATTTAAAGGTAAAGCTTTCGAGCAGGAGGATTACAAGCGGATTGAGCTGGCGTTGAAACAATAGGAAGATGATCTGCTTCTACCGAGAAAAGCTTCTATCCGAATTCCTGTCTCAGTTGACGTTGGCCAAGTCTGATTTTGATCGTGGGAAGCTCAACATTTCTTGAAATCACCCATTTTCATAAATGTATTACTATTGGTATCGCAGTTTTTTATATTTGATTTATTATCGTTGTATAATAAATTATGTTGACATTTTGTTAATAATAAATATAAAATTTTATAAGTTTTTAATAAATAAATATATATAAATTTTATGTGTATGCATATTTTTTTTGTTTTAAATTTGTTTTAGAGAAACGAACAAGAATGATATGTGACTTCTAGTATACTGATTTTGATTTTATATTATAAAATATTTATTTTTTACAAAATATATTAATTTATTATTGTTAAAATTATCAGATTTTTTACAATTTTTATAAATGCGATATGAAATTATTAATACACTTTTGAGTTATTGATCTTTTTATTTTTATCGTTCTTTCAATTATTTTTTACAATTTATCTCTAAATTACTGATTATATAAAAAAAAACTTAAACTTCTTCACGAATAAAAGTTACTATTATTATTTGATAAATATGCATAGAAATAAACATTTGATCCCTATTTTAAGATTGTTTTATAATTAACCATTACAAAATTTATGATCTCTATTTTCTTCTTGAAACAAGTAATCACCAAATTCTGAAGTATCCAAATGTTAAAAAGTCCCTAAATTTGTTACATTACCAAGCTCTTGTACTTAACAAATGTGTTCACCCTGGTGTCAGCCATCTAGGCTGATGGGTTTTCGACCAAAATGACAAAATGCCAGGAATCAAGCTTAGAAATAAATACTTACAAGAAGGTTCAGTTTTGCCTGCCATCGTCACTAATTTGACACTTCCAAGTTTCGGTCTTATCTATATTTGCAGTTTCAATATTTCCAGCTATTGATAACCCTCTGAAAGCTGCTTTAGCTTCAACTTCTCAATCGTGGCCCTGAACTCAGTCGAATATCTTGGCATCAAGATATATATAAAATTTACATGATAAATTATTGAGGTAGGAAATGTCTGAAAACAACTGAATTTATGTAATAAATGAGAAGAAATACACTATTTGGGTGTGTCCCAGGAGGCTTGGACGTCAAAGTTGAACCACTTGTGGCGTTGAAATTTGATTGGACCCCCATTAGCAGAAAGACTATCGTGATATATTTGGCTCCAAAATATGCTTGCATGGGCATTCCCTGATAACATCAGCAATGAGCAAACCTACCCTATTTTCGAGAGTTAAAAAACAGAAATAGTTATGAATCCTACGTCACATGCATCTTTGGAGCGAAAGGAATGTTCCCATCTTTTATTAATTAAATGAAAAGTCTGATTGCCACTTTTTCAACACTGTTGTCTTCCTTTTAATTGTGTGTATCTATCTGCTGCTTGATTGAAATTTGGTAATAAATGAAATACTGAATGTTGCTTAAATTCAATGTATTTGGTTATGTGATGAAGAAATACAAGATGTAGATGCAGATTACTTGGCATAAGAACCAGGAACCTTCAGCTAGAAAGTTCCAAGAAGCTCTTAAAATGCTTTTCAATGGCCGGAGATTCTTTGCAAGATCGAGTTGAAACTCTCATCAGGAGTTGCCAATTACCAATTGCTTAGTGATTAAAAAAGAATCATTTAAAAAGAAAAGAAAAGAAAAGAAGAGGGGAAAAAACAAATGTGCATGGGGGATGGGACTGGTGCTTTGCTAGAGGGAGGTAAAGTGCGGGCATGCAATGATTCAACCTTGCCCGCTAAGTTTAGCCAGCAGTCAGTCACTGTCCGAGCAGACAAATTAACCAACATGCAAAATTGCACACGGAAAGTGGACTGAGTTACCTGTTAGCTGCCGTACTCATATGTCATTGTCTTTTCTTTCTCTATATAAGAGCCCTTCTTATCCTTAATGTTCGCTGGTATCATTTCTCTGGCCGATCTTCCTGTCAAGAATTAAAAGCAATCTGCCACTGCCTCTACAAATCAAGATGGAAATCGTTGAAGACGTTGTGATTGTGGGAGCTGGAATTGCTGGTCTCACCACATCCTTGGGACTTCACAGGCATGTCATTGCCACCAACAAACTTTTGATATGATCGAAAATTTCTGCATCTGTATATGTAAAAACAGTAACTCATCCCAAACTTCTGCAGGCTAGGAATTCCTAGTTTAGTATTGGAATCATCAGACAGACTAAGGACCACAGGATTTGCATTCACAACATGGAAAAACGCCTGGAAAGCCTTGGATGCTATTGGCATTGGTGAATCTCTCCGTCAACACCATAACCTGATGCAAAGGTACTTTTAACTACACCATCACCTGGAAAGCCTTGGATGCTATTTCCCTATAAACTTACTTGATGGGGTATTTGCATCTGTTTACAGCTTGATTGTTGAATCTACATTTTTAGTTCGGTCCACATCGGAGATGTCATTCATGGGTTCTGAAGTTCGTTGTCTTCAAAGGAGATTATTGTTGGAAACTTTAGCAAATGAACTCCCCAGCAGTACCATCAGGTTCTCCTCCAAAGTAGTTTCTATTGAGGAATCAGGCTTCTTTAAACAAGTGCATCTTGCTGATGGAACCATCCTCAAAACTAAGGTAAAATCGAGTTAATTTATAGTAAATTTCTAATTGTCAGATGTAAACCAAAAGGAATTTTATAATTTTATTGTTTAAGAGGCACTGTTGATTGTAAAATTGCAGGTTTTGATTGGGTCTGATGGAGTCAACTCAGTGGTGGCAAAATGGCTTGGTTTCGAGAAGCCTGTTTTCGCAGGGAGATCAGCAATTAGGGGTTTTGCCACTATTGAAGGTGGCCATGGCTTTGGACTAAAATTCAAGCTGTTCGTAGGCAAAGGTGTTCGTTCAGGTTTACTCCCTTGTGATGATGAGATTGTTTATTGGTTTATGACTTGGACTCCCGCCAGCAAAGGTACCTTTGCCCCCGTTCTTTCTGTTAAAAACCTGTGACTGCTTAATGCATATCATCCTTCCTCAAATTCTACTATTATGTATTACTTGCAGAAGAAGAACTAGAAGAGGACCCAGTTAAGCTGAAGCAATTTGCGTTGAGCAAGCTTAAAGATACACCAGATGAAATGAAATCTGTTGTAGAAAAAACTTTGCTAGATGACATTGTATCATCTCCCTTAAGATACAGAAGGCCTTGGGAGCTGCTTTGGGGAAATATTAGCAAGGGTAATGTCTGTTTAGCTGGTGATGCTCTTCATCCCATGACCCCAGACCTTGGCCAAGGTGGGTGTTCCGCCATGGAAGATGGCGTTGTCCTGGCCAGGTGTCTTGCTGAAGCCTTACTGAAAGTACCAGGAGGGGAAATCAAGGAAAATATTGATGAAGAAGAGGAATATAAGAGGATTGAAATGGGGTTGAAAAAATTTGCCCAGGAGAGAAGATGGAGAAGCATTGATCTCATTACCACAGCTTACGTGGTGGGTTCTATACAGCAACATAATGGGAAGATAATTAACTTCTTCAGAGACAAATTCCTATCCAGGTTCATATCTGGGATAGTGTTAAGGAAGGCTAATTATGACTGGGAATCTTAATTAGCACTTGTTGAATGAAGCTTGAACCCTTTGTTCTTACATAGTTTGGTGTATAATTTCCAAAGTTTCAATAAAGAAAGTTCTTGATTAGAGTTTTCAAGTTTGTATTTCAGGTCTAGCACTGTTATAATCCAATCAAATTATACAAACAAACAAAATTTTAGTTGTTAGATTAGACCAATGGTAAGCCACAAAACAGGACCCAAATTATTTTTTTTAAAAAACTCAATTGAAGTAATTTTAATATTTTTCATCTCAAAATTTAATCTCAAATTTGGTTAAGTACACGTTTCTCTATTAATTATTATATTATTAAATTTTAATTATTTTTAATATTTAACTATTTAACTCATTGATTAGTATATAATCCTTTTATCGACAAAACAGGATTGGAATCCTCATTCATCAATTATAAAAAAAAAAAAATTAATTACTTTTAGTATTAATATTTTAATGCTTGAATTTTTTTTTATTTTGTAAACCTTACATCGGGCCACAAGAGAAAGAATCCAAATAATGTTGGACTTGTCCCAATGTAGGGCTTTCTAAAAATCTATCTTTACCCAAAAAGAAAACTACAAACGATGCGTTTCACCTGTATTTGATATGGCTTTTCTTTTACTATCTAAGCGGCGTCGTTCGGTCTGGTCTTTCATCTTTCTCAGGCCCTCCTTGGCCCCTTTCTCTCTCTCTCTCTGGCTCTAGACTCGCAAGCTGAAGATACTGGGTTGAAACTGAAAACCTTGCTCTCTCCGTACTCAGTTCTTGATTCCTCCAAATCCATCACTTCCTCTCGCGAATCAGAGGTCAATTTTTCCCATTTCCCTTTTACGTTTTACTTTTAAGCTTCTACCTAATCAAAATCTCACTTTTTTAATCTGAATTTAACATCCATTTTCGTTCTAATTCGCTATTGTTTCAGGTTCTTGAAAATGACTCAAGACGTGGAGATGAAAGAGCAAGCAGCTCCTTCCAATTCCCTTTCTTCTTCATCTCCTTCCACTTTACACCGTAAGTTCAATCAGTCTATAACATCCACGTGTCTTTTACACATATCTTTTTGACGTTTGGTGATAAATATTTTAATGTTTTTGATGTTTTATGAACTGGTTACTTAAGGGTGTTTCTCGGGTTTGAGTCAAATTTTCTGGATTTTTGTTAGATTTGAAGGAAATTGCGTCTCTGATAGAGACCGGCGCATATGCCCGTGAGGTTCGCCGTATTTTGCGGGCTGTAAGACTTACTATGGCTTTAAGAAGGAAGCTGAAGGCATCTGTGCTTTCTGCATTCCTCAATTTCGCTCTTATCCCAGCATCCGAGGCCCATACTCGACTTTCTTCTTATCTTCCTAAGGTAATTTTTGATGGGATATTGCAAAATGTTAAGTTCTTCATGTTGGATTGTTTGCTTTTCTCCTTTGGCATGATGGGTTCGATGCCTGTAGTAAAGTGAATTAGAGACCTTTTGTACTATGGTTTTGTAGTCGAATTGATTGGCGTGCTCTCGTCTTAATATAGACTTGATGTCTTTACTTAATTCTAAGCGTTAAAAAACATGCTAGAGATAAAAAAAAATGGTTGTATCTATGAAGTTGATGATTGGTAATTGGCCCTTGATTGACCTTCTTGTTCAAGATATGATGTTTATTCTTTCTAGTTGTTTCCTCCGCTGAATTAGTAGGTTTTAAATGCCTTGATCAGTAGTCAAGTTTCTCTCCAACTTACCATTCACGTTCGCCTTAGAAATATTTGTTTGTATGAGTACAATAAAATATTCATGATTTCATAAGTTTTGCATTTACTGTTCCTTTAAGAACTCAATTATTGAATGTTGGTGTCAGGAAGATGAGCATGAAATGGAAGTTGATACTGCAACCTCTGCAGTTCAAGCTCCTGCTAAGCATTCCCTGCCAGAGCTAGAAATCTACTGCTACTTGCTTGTCCTGATATTTCTGATTGATCAAAAGAAATTCAGTGAGGTACATTGGCTAATATTTTTGTCAGGATGTTCATGTTTCTTGTACATAACATTATCTCATTTCAGGCGAAAGCATGTTCCTCTGCAAGTATTGCCCGGCTGAAGAATATGAATAGGAGGACTGTTGATGTTCTAGCTGCTAGGCTCTACTTCTATTACTCTCTTTGCTATGAACTAACGGGTGATCTTGCTGAAATCAGGGGGTGAGCAATATTGTATTCAAATCTATTTTCACCAACTCGTCTTTAATAAATTCTGGCTTGTGGTTTACTTTTAAGAAACTTCAGTGTATTAAATGTCTAGTATTCACGACCAGAAGTACAGTATCATATTCTGGGTCTGATTAGGATGCTCTTTCATTGACAGTAACCTTTTAGCCCTGCACCGGATTGCAACATTGCGCCATGACGAGTTGGGTCAGGTAAACTCTCAAATATTGGAGCAATTATATCTCTGGTGCTAGGGTCTTATATATTTGGATATTGCTCTTATGTAGGAGACACTTCTCAACCTGCTACTTCGCAATTACCTCCATTACAATTTGTATGACCAAGCAGAGAAACTGAGGTCCAAGGCACCCAGATTTGAAGCTCACTCAAACCAACAGGCTAGCCTCGATCTTTAGAGTCAAATTTTTTTAGTATATCTTTAAAATTACCAATGTTTCTGGCATATTGTTTACTTCATTTCAGCCAACTAAAATGCATTTTAATGGTTATGAAGTGGTTGCCTGGTGTATACTTATGGTTATAGCTATAAAAACATTTATTGTTATTTGCTTTCATATCCTAAGGCAAAGGTTTTCCTCATGCAGTTTTGCCGGTACCTCTTTTATTTGGGGAAGATTAGGACCATTCAGTTGGAATACACAGATGCTAAAGAGTGTCTCCTTCAAGCTGCCCGAAAAGCTCCTGTCGCAGCCCTTGGTTTTCGGGTGCAATGCAACAAATGGGCAATTATTGTCCGATTACTGCTAGGAGAAATCCCTGAGAGGACCGTTTTTATGCAGGAAGGCATGGAGAAGGCATTGAGGCCATACTTTGAACTGACAAATGTGAGTTTGAGTTTGTCATACTTATATTATTTTCTTTTCTTTTTGCATTGTGAAGAACCAATGTCTGATATTACACACAGACTTTCCCCAATAAGGAAAAGGGAGAGAAGTTATCTGTGTAGCTCTTAAATATTCTCAAAACACAAGTCATGCGTGGATCGCCGCAATTTTTTAATGGGATTTAAAATTTTTTAGAACATAACCAAGGGTTGTCATCTGTTATGTATGTTTTCAGGCTGTGCGCATTGGGGATTTGGAGCTCTTCAGATCTGTTGCTGAGAAGTTCTCAAATACTTTCACTTCAGACCGGACCCATAATTTGATTGTCAGGCTGCGGCATAATGTCATTCGGACTGGGCTACGCAACATAAGTATCTCATATTCTCGCATCTCACTGGTTGATATTGCCAAGAAGCTTAGGTTGGACTCTGTTGCTGATGCTGAGAGTATAGTAGCCAAGGCAATCAGAGATGGAGCAATTGATGCAACATTGGATCATGCAAATGGATGTATGCTGTCAAAGGAGACAGGAGACATCTACTCTACAAATGAGCCTCAAATGGCTTTCAACTCTAGGATTGCTTTCTGCCTCAATATGCACAATGAGGCAGTGCGAGCACTTCGGTTCCCGCCGAACTCCCATAAGGAGAAAGAAAGTGCTGAGAAGAGGAGAGAAAGACAACAACAGGAGCAAGAGCTTGCAAAGCACATCGCAGAGGAAGATGACGATGAGTTTTAATTCAGTGACACGCAAAAGGCCATTTATCCAGCATATGATGCTTTCATCAAGTTGTGCATTTTCCTTTTAATGCCCTAGTAGAAACATTTTAATTTTCTTTTTCTCAATGACTACTTAAACCGATAGCATTGCTCTATATTCGTCATATGGGGTTAGCTCATTTTTTGCTCATGATTTTAACCTTTTTAAGTTTTGTTCCTTGAACAATGCCGTGTCATTTGGATACACCATGCAGCCATTTGAGACCTCTCAAGGTGGAACTTTGCTCAGTATGATTGTCTACTGTCGTTAAGAGTAATTATCCAAGGTGATATAGACTTATATGCTGGTTACAGATGGTATGCAGCTGAATGATTATTGAAGAATTTTATGTGAAATTCTCTTATATGTCAGTTTTCCATAGTTTCCATCTGGATAATGATAGGAATTTGGCAGATACTTTTATCCTTTCTGACCGAGAATGGCAAAAAGGCATCTCATGTAAGCATCACAAGATAAATGCATGGTTCTCTATCTAGCTAACTACAAAAGAAGGCAAGGTATCGCTGGCTAGGCTAATCAGGAGTCATGTCGATAAAGAATATGCAATCATTATTCACCAATTGCCAGACAACTGGAGCTGTCGTAGACTCATAATTGGCGCTGGCACATCATATTTTGGTATGAATACAGGGACGATATTGGGTAAGACGCTCCATATGAATTGACACTTATGTCGTTGGCCAGTAAGTGAGAAACAAGGGACAACCAAGGGTGAAAGAAAAATACCAACGCAATTAAGAAAATAGTAATTTCTAGTTAGAAGAAACGAAAAATATGAGTCACTTGTTCATCTTTGATACAACTCACATCCTGAACAAATCATGAATGATACATAGTATGTTCAAACTCCTAGGTGAAGGAGGGAAAAGAAAATTAAAAAAAAAAACAGTAATGAGTAGAAAGAGTAACAGAATCTGCTAGTTTAATGAAGAAATATTCAAAGGCTTTAATCTCACACCAGAATCACCCAGCTGAACTCAACCCAAACGACTTGACTATGGTGCTCACTCTTTCTGCAAAAGTTCTGGATGTAATCTTTTTACCAGGCACATGAAATGGGTTTGAGACGGCATCAACATATACCGCATGGAACCTCTTGAAAAACTATACATAAAGTACAGAAAAATTGAAGAGGAAGAACAAGTCAGTGGCCACAATAACATTTTGAGCATCCGTTAAATATATAGACAAAAATATCCTATTTTTAATAAGATAACAAGCTGCAAGAAGGATTAGCTATTTTTCTAATCACTACTAAATCAACACTCAAACATTGGTCC